GATGAGTGATATTTTGGCATTGTGTAAAAGCTCCAAGCAAAAGAACCTGCAGTCAGTCATGTAGAGGAGGTAGTTTTCATTTTGAGTGAAATATTTGAAGGGACTTTGAGAATGCACAGATATTCTTTTCCTTTGCATGGATGAAGATTTGGTGCTACTCAGGCTTGAGCAAAATCTGAATGATATTCATGGTATCACTGGTGGTAGGTTTCTAGATTTTCTTCACAGTTCAATATCCTCTGCACATTCAGAATATAAATGTAGGTATCCAGATATTTGTAGTCCTGGGAAGAATATGAATGGTTTATCAAACACTCAGAATGGGTTCATGGAAACTGAAACCAAATTTAGGTGCAAAAAGCTTTTACAGCATTTTTAACTACCCAAATCTATGTGGACAGGTACAGAGAGGTCCACTCTACACTGCTTGTGTCCCGCATGAGCTAAGCAAGAAAGAACTTCAGGCCAGAAGAAACATACCAATGTTAAGAAAATACTATGCTTAAGCTGCCATGTCCTCCTAATAGGGTTTAGAGAGCTGAAAAGCCATGAGAAGTTGTTCAGCAGAGTAATGCAAGGGAGGGCATATATGCCAGGTGGATAGCATGGCTGTGTGGAATCCAGACTGGAACCAGCATCTGCCTGGACTGATTGCAGCAGAGGAGATCAGGCTTGTCTGCAGTAGTCTGGACAAATATTTCCACAGTTGTATTGCTTTTGAGAGGCAATTGGTGCTCTCACAACTGCAAACAGAACGTTTGTATGTAACACTGCCCTGTGGCATTAAACTGACACCAAAATTTGGGCAGAATACTATAATTCTCTGACTCCTATTTTGTAGACACTCCTGATTTCCTCTGCTGTTTATGCTTAACTCTTGTGAGTTGGTACTATCTCAAACCTCATGCATCTACAATCCCAACAAAAGAGGGAACAGTGGGAATATGGATTGAGGTTTGAAGAACATGCCTAATGAACAATGGTATATGATAATGAGATGCTACTTCTTGAACTAGTTGAAAACAGAGTTTAAGCAATCCCTGCCTTTAAAAAAAACTCAATACTCAGGGTAGAAATGTTTATATTTTCAAGAAATAAAACTATGTTAATTGACCTCAAGACTAAATGTGAAATCATGTCTTGCCTGACACCAAATCATTAAGCTCTTTCTGATCCCAGACTATTGATGAGAATATTTATTTTCCTCAGCCCATAAAAGCTAGCAAAATATTGCAAGGAGAACATTTGAGCTGGTTTAAAAGAAGACTGAATGACATCAAGGTCTTTGCAATTTCTAATCACTATAATTCTATTATTTGATTTAAGATCAGTTGCCCCATAAATACCGAGCAGCTTACTATTTTTTCCCAATTTGGGAACTCAAAAAAAAAAATTTCCTTTAAAAACCAAGGAAACAATGAATTTTTACAGATGTCTTAGAAGTTGTATAATACATACAGTAGCTACAAATTAGCATATTGTGCATACGTTGCTTTGTGTGCTTTCTGGAAGGGGTCCAAGGATGACTTACTAACACATGGGATGTTTCCTCTTCACAACATTAATGCGAAGTCAACACCTGCAGTGATGTAAGCCCATGACTCACCTGCCTGAATGGAGGTCTCTTTAGGATCAACTGTTGTGTGCAGAATACATCTGCAACATCCAAATAAATGAGCCCTTCTAAAGTAAGTCAGCACTACCCCTATTTAGAATGCAAGGCCCTTGTGAAGGCTGAGGTGAAGCAGCTGTCTAGCAGCTTTTGTGAGTCATTTTAAAAAGCCACTCTCACAGCTGGAGAGAAAATAGCCCTGGCAGCACTGGCAATCCATTATGAAATGCAAAAAGTCGTTCTCTGGGCGGAAGGAGAACTTCACCCAGCTGTCAAGTGTTTGAAAGGTTGGGGGGAAAGTGTGCACACACACGCACATGGCCCTCTTGCAATGCAAGGCATACAGGGGCCACATTACATAAAATTTAATCTCCCCCAAGGATGAAAAAAAAGCATGGGCATGAGTTTACTTTTTAGACATGAGCAAGGATTTTGATTAATGGACGTATCAAGCACTTTCTATAATCCAGGAAGGACTGGTCTGCAAGTGTCTTTTCTGATTTAAATTCTTCTTTTCAGAATACCTGTACCAAAAAGACACTTGACCTCTGTTTACATTTTGTCCAGTTGCATCGATCTGAAAGCTTCATATTGCAGAGAAAGGAAAATTTAAGTGGAAGAATAATCAATCTCTAATCTCATCTTTTTCCATTTGGCAAATGTGAAATGTAGTTAGTGAATGGCTTCTAAATGTAAATCAATTGAAACCAAAAGTTGCTGATGCTGCATATTTGCAGCATAATAAAAGACTAATTTAGAAGAGTCCAGAGAATGAAACAATGATGTATTCAAGTAGAAAGATGTGAAAAAAGATGTCTTGCATAGCTGTGAAGCCTGAAGGGATTCCATGGGGATGTAATTTGCAGAGCAATGAGAAAGGGGATCTTTAAAAGTGGGGCACAAACAGGTTTTCGAGCTTCTTTATGGAGTTCACCTTATTTACTGCCATACAAAAGGCAGTCTGGGAAGTATTTTCATGGATCAGTAGTGACATCTAGTGTCAATTCAGACTGATCCTGCCCACCGGGAAGCCGAAATAACCCCCCCCTGGCAGCAGTCCTGAATATGGTCCCATCCTATGATTAGACACCAACACCACACCACTTCACTTATGCACACCAGTGATGCCAAATTTAGGCCCAAGTGAGGTCTCAAAACTTGTAAAAATTACTTGGAATTTTCTAGAAACAATTTTTAAATTTCTTGTGTCTTTCTGTTTGAGAAGTATTAGCACATAAAGGCAGCAAGGACTCTCAATTTTAATTTAAGGTACAAGTTATACATAAGGAAATGTAGCTGTTGTATTACATGTGGCCAGAGATGATTACCACATCACTGTGTTTAAGTGGGAACTAATGCATAGAACAGCTTTATTAACTGTATAACTGGAAGTGCTGTATGATTGTTTCTGAAAAAAAAATAAGTTAATTTCAGGTTTTTACTATTCCAGAAGGGTGATAAGCTGCCGGAGATATAGAGAAGAATTTCTGTCAAGACAAAGCACTGAAAAACAGGTCTTGTACTGAAAGATCTAGAGACCAATCTGTTTCCTTTAATAAAGGGAGAGAAGAAGTCCAAGAATAGACTATATATATATATGTACAGATTTCTTTAAACTGCTAGACAGAAATATACAAAGATGTAGTGACTGGCAACTAAAAGGAAAAAACTCAGAGTTGAAATGAAGCAGAACTTTTTTTTGGTCATAAAAAAAATCAACACTTGAAGAACAGATGAAGGCCTGTGATAGAGTTTGAATTTCTGGGGCATTTTAATTCAGAATAGAATTTTTTTCTAAGATAAAACATTCCTTGAAAATGGAAAAGCAACCATAAGAACTATTGGGGCAGATTGTGTCCATTCTTGGAGGTTTTCAAGCCCTGTGGAACTTTGCTTGATCTCATAGATTGCTTTGCTTTGAGCAGGTAGTTAGACTAGAAATCTCCTTAGGACTCTTCCAACCTGATTTAGTCTTCAATGCAATGACCTCATGATGTAAATTAGGGAAGTCTGGGATTCTATGACAAGTCATTCTAGATAACTTTAAGATTATAATCTCTTTAGTCTATGAAATTATCAAGGAAGGAAATACTGCATCACAAAAAATTCTCATTAACATTTTCCAAATGCATGGTTTTTAATTTAATTTTTGTTGTTTTTTTTTCTTCTTAACAGAAAAAGATGGGCATAAGGGGAATATTGTAATTTCTTAGTGCATATTCAAAATCAAAGAGAACTCATCAAGATAGAGATTACCAATGCAGTCACAGAATCACACGATGGTTGAGCTTGGAAGGGACCTCTGTGAGATCAGAAGGGACCAGAAGTCACCTGTTTCAACACTTCTGCTCAAGGAGGGCCACTTCAGGCCAGTTGCCCATATCTGTATCCAGAAAGTTCTTGGCTCTGCCTGGGGATGGAGCCTCCACCACCTCTTTGGAAAACCTGTATTGGTGCTCAGTCACCATCATAGTAACAAAATATTGGCTGGTGTTAAGCCCCTAATATTGCTGGAGAGGGTTTCCAGAATTAGAAACTCCGTCACCATCCCAGCGATTGAGGTGGTGTTGACCAGCCTGTCATTCCCTGGGTCCTTCTTCCTGCCCTTTTTAATACAGCAGTGACATTAACTTGTGTTTATATTGAAGTGCAGGGGAAGAAGACATTTCCATTGGTCTTGCAGCAGGAGGGCTAAAAGACCATTACTATTGCAGCAAACCACAGCAAAAAATGAGTCTCCAGAGACAAGAAAAAAAGAACAAATTAAAGGCTTCATTTAAACACCATCAAAAAAAAAGGAAAGTTGTATGAAGTGATAGGCAAAGAAATATCTCATGAAGACCCCACAGGCAGGTTCAGTCCAATCAAATACCTTCTCTGTGTTGCTGGGACTTGAGATAGATGGGAGTATGCTGTAGTTTGCAGTGGGACAGGAGGTCTTCAAACAGGACATTTTTAAGTGGGTTTTTTGTGGATGGGATACCCAAAATTTAGTCCAAGAAGGACTAAATAAAAGGAAATGAACCTTTTTTTTTTAGGATGCTGGCTAATGAAAAGCTGTGGTATAAATCTGAATTGGCATATGAGCTGTAGATTTAGCATGACAGAGCAGGTTATCTAAGTTTTGTTCTGTGGATCAAACATGACAGGACTGTAGGCTGAGGCAAGGGAAGAAAAGGAAGTAGAAAAAGAGCAACATGAGCACCATTTTTTTGTTTTTTTTTTTTTTCTTCACAAAGCCCAGTTGCTCGTACTTTTTCTATGTCAGGGATTGCACTTATATATATATATATATGTGTGTGAGCAAAAATAAGACATTTAGAAATGAGTAAACAATAAATATGCTATCATTATATTAAATATTAAATATTTACTTTTTTTTTTAAAGGAAATAGTGTCTCTTAACAGCAGATGCCATCTCAAACTACAAGGAAGAGGTTTGCCATTTCAGCCTGGAAGAAGCCCTACACAGCTACACCACATCCATTCATTCCCCTTGAACAGGTAAGGAAAATAATACTCTACCAACCTTGACCAGCAGCGGATAATGTAATTCTTTACAGCAAAGAAACTCCAGTAAGTGTCTGCCCATGATCATCCTTGCCCATATATGTTAACCACCTGTTTTAAGGTCTCATAATTCTGCTGTGTAATATAAATACTAATTTTTCATCTATATCATTCTATATACAAGCAAGCTAACCAGCAAATAGTACAGGATCAAAGAAGAGAAAAAATGCAGTTTAAGAGAAGCTCCATTTATTATTTTTTGCTAGCAGGTGTATTAAAAACTTTAATGAACATACTAGTGGCTCTACCTTTTTCATAATAATACCAGCTCCCTCCCTGAGCCTTAATCCATGAAGTCTTGAACAAATGGAGTAAATATTAAGTAACAACTTCAACCATATTTCCCTGACACCTTTACACACTCTTCAACAATGTTATTAGAAGAGTTAAATACACAAGTGCATTTATGTCTATGATTTCATTTGTACTTAAAGCTATGTAGAGATTTGATAGTGCCAGCTGCAAAATCATCCTAGTAAATCATTGTGCTTCTGGCCCTTCATTCTCTCCCTTGCATTTTCATTCTAAAACTATATTGCTTTATTCTGTCACTCTGTTCTTTTCTACTTTGTTTTCTTCTTGATCAATTTGATTCAATAGATTATTACTACATACAATTTTCCATCCTGCTTATTTGATTAAGCAGATTGCAGATGCTTCAGAAGACAAGAAAAATGTCAGTTCTAAAAAATAATTCCTTTGGCTGTATTACTCATAGGTTGACCAATACTGGAAGTCAAAACGAAGATATTTCCAAACTTAGTTATGGTAAATATATATATTTTTTAATGGTAGATGTGTTTTAGTTACTGAACTGCTACTTCCATTTCCAAATCCAGATAACCTCTTCAATGCCATCTGTCAGAGAGTTTCACAGGCTCTACATATTCTGTGAGAAAAGGTTATTTCTTATTCTCTTCCTTTCTTGTGCTACCTGTGAAAGTGACACAATATTTGCCTGCTATTTCAAAATGAGACAAGAAAAAAATCCTAATTACACCATTTCTATATCCTTAATTATTTTTTTGCTTTATAGTGAGATCAGCTATTCCTCTTCTCAAAGATAAACACTGTCAATACAATCATTCAAAGCATCATGTGGATGGATAAAAATATAGAAATACTTCATTTTATTTTTTTTCCTTCTCATCGTGAAACACATTCAAATTCATTGCCTTTCTCCTAATGCCACTGGCACACGTGCACTGACAGAAAATATACTGCAGAACAATGAAGTATGTTCTCAACAGTATTCTGTTGACAGAGGTGATTTTGGTGCCTCTAAATACCATCATGAAACTGATGAAACAAATGTTTTCCTTATCACAGAATAATATAATTATTTAGGTTGGAAAAGACTTCTAGGATCATCAGCACTGCCAAGTCCAGGGCGAAACCATGTCCCTGAGAGGCACATCTACATAATTTTCAAATACCTCCAGGGTGGTGACTCAACTACTTCCCTAGGCAGCCTGTTGCAGGGCTTGACGATCTTTTCTGTGAAGAAGTTCTTCTGAATATCCAATTCTAAGGCTCCTCTTGCACAAGCTAAGACTTCCTCTTTTTCTATCACTTGTTACCTGGGAGAAGAGACCAACCCCCTCGTTTTCACAACCTTCTTCTGGGTACTTGTAGGGTACAATTCAAGGCCACAGAGAAGCATGACCCATCAACATAAAGGCATGCTTGATTTGTTATTAAATAAAAAGAAAAATAAACATACACCTACAAATTCAAAGGTAGAAGCTCTTCTAAAAAACTGGTTGCACCTGTATAACTATATTTCTGAGAATAATTTTATAACTGATTCTTTATAACTGAGAATAATTTCATCATGTGAAGAGGTGCTAGACCAAAATAGCTTTGTCCACCCTTGATGACAGTCGATGTCAAAATTATAATAATGATGTGATGTAGCTAAAATTGTATCTCTGTGTACAGAAAAAACTGAAGTAGTCACAGTGGGCAGTGCTACTCTGCCAGAAGAAAATAAGCCTGAAGTATAAACCAGACAAAAGGATGTGAAATCAGGATTGCCTGGCTGCTAAGTTAGGAACAGCCTGAAGATACATTAGGACAGGGAAAATATCCTCTGGCTGTCTTCTGTAAATCTGACTTAACTGCAATTGTTTAACTTGCTCCAGTTATCATTGATGGTGTTTTATAATACCAGCTAGACAAGTGGGCTGTTGATTATAAAGGAATAGTTAAAAAGTGAGTAGTAGTCATTTTATAGAAGATGGAAATGGTTGTGATAAACATGAGGCAGAGAATTTTTTCTCATTTCTCTCAAAATGGAGAGATAGAACCTTTATATAACAAAAGAGGCACCATCTGGGCAGGGCTGGATCATTTGAAATCCCAAGAAGTCCCAATAGTTGCCGTTTCTTGTCATTTTGGGTTGAGATTGTTGTTGGGTTATATTCAGGTGGGTTCTTTCATGGACATACCAGCACTAGAACAGACGCTCATGGACCTGCTGGGCCTGGGAGTCCCATCACAGCGTGAGCGAGAGCAGCATCACCTGACCAGCACTGTCTCCTGTGGGCAAGGGAGAAGGACAACTTCATCTCACCTTGTTTCTTTTTCAGGCAGCTTTTGGACACAGCTAAATGCCACAGGGTGTGCCAGGACACAGCATGGACCAGCAGCAGTACCAGTGACAGCCCCAGCCCTGGGCACTGGGACAAGGATAGGATGAGGCTCAGTGAGGCCATGGCCAGGATAGACCAGGCAGAACCGCCTTAGACTGCCTTAGGGCCCTGAAACAGAAATGACCTGAAGGAGCAAGAGTGCCAGACAAGCTTGGGGAACAGGACTAGTGAAGATCATATGGCTATGCTGACTTGTACAGGGAGCAAAGTTTTAGCAGAACCTGCAGAAGATTTTCTAGCTACGCAAGTTGCTGCTGACCTCACTCAGTTTATCTTTCTTACATTGTATTATTTTATTTTATTTTATTTTATTTTATTTTATTTTATTTTATTTTATTTTATAATTTATTTTATTTTTATTTTACTCCTATTTCAAGAACAAATATCAGTGACCAATTTAGATCTTATCACTTCTCTGAACATCCTTGGGGTCACTAGGAATACAGGACCTCTCAGGAGCCTGCAAAGTTGAGCTGTGGCAAGGAAAGGACTCAGAAAATAGCAGCACAGGACTAAATAGTTATCTAGTTTCTTCTTTAAAATGATATTTTTTTAAATTTTATTTTTATTTGGCATGTTTCCTGTGACTTGAGGTCTAGATGGGGAAATCATAGAAGAAAAGAGAAAATATGAAAACAAAGTCAACTTCCAAGATTGGAAGAGAAAGATTGCAACAGGCTCTTGGAAAGAGACTGGAAATATCTTTTTGAAATATTAAATCTTATTTGTCTGAAAAGATTGGCATAGAGAATGGAAATAAAACCAAAATGAAAGACTTTGTACATGTCCTATTATTACATATATTTAGCTGCAAGACTTCAGAAATTAAATAGCCCAAAGAAAATATGTTGGTAGAGTATTTCATACAGTTCAACAGAAACAGAAAGAATCTGAATGATTCAAAAAGCTTATATAACTGTTTTGTTTTATTCATTTACATAAATCACATTTACCGTAGGTGTTTTATTCAAAATAAAGTTTTGGGAAAATAAATTGAACAGATGAACCTAGGCAAACCTGGTGATTTTTTCATGAGTAGTGTTTGATGATAAAAGCATAAAAGCATAATGTGATATCATTTCACCAAGGCACAATATGGATCATCCATATGGAGCAGAAGTTGATAACACTGCAAAGAAGCAAAAATAAACAGAACAGATGTACTTGTAAAATCAAGTCTGCACCCACCCTGAGTACCTGTTTCTTTGTGCAGAAACTTCTTCTGCAAGTTTGTCCCACAGAGTTGCTGGAACAGGAAATCACTCCTGGATGCAGCACTGAGCGCTTGGCTTCATGTATGACCATTTTGGAGAACAGAGTATTCACAGCCCCAGTGAGGGGACTTGGATCCTCATGGTGCTAAGCAAGATGATGAGGGAAAACATTTTATTTTCTATCATTCCTCTGCAGCCTTCTTGAAAAAGTACATCCTGTATCAAATTCAAACTTCCTTAGAGCTGCATTGGTTGTGTAGAAAGTAATCTCTCAAAACGCACTGAGTGTTATGGAGTCATGAGGAAACTCCTGGGGTACAAGAAGCTCTGCTGCTTAGACTTGGTTTGGTTCTTTGGAAATACTACAAGTTTTCAAACCTTTGCTTTTTATATCTTAGAGAAAATAAAACAGTTTCCATTCACTTGTGCCACAGGGAGTGCCAGGACACAGCACAGACACTGGAACATCCACCTGTTTTTTCATGTCAGCAAATAAAACAGCAATTACTTGAACAACATAACTCCAGCCCGCAGTGTATTTCCCATGCACCTAAGCAGACAGAGCAGTCCTGTTGAGCTCTCCATGTACTGAGCAAGGATAACCAAAGCATCTGTGCAAGACTGTTTTGGTTTGCTCAGGTCTTATCATGAATCAATATTGGCTTTGTAGTTATGGAAGTCCAATCACTAATGTCTCCTAGCTGATATTCAGGTTTATTCCTCCACTATATATCAGCTGCATTACTAATAGCTGTTTACTCTTCTATATCCTTTGCTTAATAAAGAGTTGAAAATGTCTTCTTCCACTTTCTTCCACACACCCATATTGCTTCTCCTTTAAAAGTTAATGTATTTATAAGCATGCTGTGACATTGAAGCATACAGCACAGTACTTGAAATAAAGTGACTGCAAGTTCTGTTGTATGTTTATAAATGCATCAGAAAGTACTTAAAATTATATGAAAAGCTCTCAGTTGTTGTTTTCTTCTTTTTTAAAGCCTATATACCTTATTCCATCAGTAAAACAAGACAGATGTGAATCAGCAGCTCAGCAATTTGGTAGAAT